TTTGGATGGATATAGGAAAAATAGATATATTTTCCACCCAAAAAACTCAGGCAGAAAATTTACTACAGTCCATTCTTTAACAGCACTGTCACAGCTATAAGATGGAACACCAAGATACCTTCCATTTCAGACTCAAAGGGAAAGATTTATGACTCAAACAAGATAAGATGCACCACAGGCTGAATAGACATATCTAAGTGATAGGAAGAGAGCAATAGATGGAAATGGTGTTAGGGCATGTAGTAAGGTCAAACAACTAATAATAAAGGGCTGAACAAGCTGAAGAGATTGACTTGTAACTGTTAGTAGAGGTGTTTCTGTTCCTAAGCTGAAGGAGGAGATATAAAATGGCAGGTAACACTCACAAAATGCATTATTAATAGACTGTACATTTAACACAGGTTTAACACATCCAGGTGGAAGGAAGCAATGGCAATACAGACGTAAGCCTTTTGATGCAGATTAGCTTACCTACCAAGTGGCTATCTTCCCATGAAGTACATAAAGAGGGCTCATTTATTCTGTTTATGCAACTATATTATCACTTTATGGAAAAGCAAGAAAGATGCAGAAGAAGCCCAGTGCAGTTTTAGAAAAAAAGAGACCATTCACAGAAGAAGCACATGGTGAGGAATTTATTCCATGTAGAGGAAGCAACGACCCCTTTAAACAATTTTAAATAATCAGATAAGTCACATTTTCCCTCCCTCTGAACTTATGGCCTCAATTGTGAACAAAACAGATCAAATCCTTTTCTTCTTCCATTTCCCTTCGGTGAACTGCATAAAAGAAGAGAAATTCACTGGGGAGTTTGGTTTTGCAGTGATCTCTGGTGCCCATGCTTCCTGAATATGAATAATAACAGTTGAATAATAACAGTGTCAGAGGTTTTGGTTTAGGATGTTCTACTGACACAAAAAACACTGAAACATACAAACAGCTGTGGCAGGAACTGTCTCTTGTTTCCAGGAGTTCAGTGTGGGATCTTATATCTGAGCTAGTTTTCAAGGGAGCAAGTAATAAATTGTGACTTCTCCAAACAGCTTCTCTCATAAGAAGGGAGGAATCCATACCTTGGCTCCACTGGTTGTATTGACTTGCACTCCACTGACTGAAAAATGAGCTGAAGCGAACTACTTCAGATGCAGGCACTGAATTTCTACATATGTATGCATATTCAAAAGAATACGCCCTTCTTACATGTGATTTTGACATCCTTTAAAACATGCACTTTCTCCTGAAAATGTGATTATTCTCAAAAAACATCATCCTCACATGAGCTTTTAATTTCAAGAAAATTACAGCTTAAATTCACTGAAAACCAGAATACTAAAGCTATATTAAAGTATCTAGCAAACTAATCTGACTCAGAAAAACATTCAGTAATTCCTACCCACACTGGTGGGAGGAGATGTTGTCTGTCCTCTTCAAAATTTCACTTAATTCAGAGCAGTGTGAAGGCTGCATTACAGCCTGTATTACAAATACACAGTGTATTTCCTGCCTTTCTTTTGCTTCAGTCCTGTTTAAGAATATTGCTCAGATGGACATATGCAAACCAGCCTATGGTCAAATACACAAATACTCAATTTAGCCCAAGCTTCCTAATCATCAGAGAGAAGTAGAAGGTAAGATACAGTGTGGACATAACTTAGCTTTTCATGTAAGCAATTCAAGCAGCTGGAAATTTTCAGAAACATCAGTTTGCCTTTTTTTCTTCATTTGTATGTTACAAGCAGTGCGTTAAAAAATTTGACTCCATACACACACACACACACACACACAAAAAAAAGATTCAATGCTAATATCAGCTCATCTCCATGGAAACTATTTTCAAACAGATAAACACGGCATATGGAGTGGAAGGAGCCTGCTAGGAGTCATTTCCAAACAATGCAACAGACATTACGTGCTCTAATGTGCTTTCAGTTGTCCCTACAGTATGCCCTAGCACGAGTATGACAATTAGTTACTGACACTAGAGGAGAGCATGCAAAATGACAAATTGATATTGGTTCTCCAATCTATGTTATTTAATCTTCTCCTTGTCCAAGGCAAGGGAAATATTTCTTAAAAAGCAAAAGATCTAAAATTATAGATAAAGGTGACTTAAAAATAATCTATTTATCTCATGCTACTCTTTTTGCCCTGTCTCCCCTTTTCCCATACTTATTTTTCATTACAAATGTGATTTTAATAACATCAGTGCGTAGCACAGAAACTTGCTTCTTATTCTATTGCAGCTGCTGGAAGCAATGCATTTTAATACATCATTGTTCATCCAAGTGACCCTCTTGGGCCCAGTCGGAGTTCTTACATGCCAGTTGGTCTAGGGCTGATGTACAAGGCTTGGGAGTGAATTAGTTTGGTGGTAGAAACAGAGTAAAGAATACAGTCAAGGTCGAATTACTGCCCTGGCTTCAATCGCACCTCTTCCAGACTTGCTGGATTTGGGATCTATTCTGGGTGAATGTTCCATTAGAACCCATTAGAATAAGTCTGCTTAGCCTTGACACGCAAGTAGAAGAATAACATAAACAATACAGTTAGCCATTCTGTGTACTCATACAGTGTGTATCTCAACCCCATAGCTGATTAGATTCCATTTATATGACTACACTGAATCACCTAGATTCAAATTATGCCTCCAGTAGTGTACTGGTGTGAATGGTTGGTGGAAAAATACTATGGCAAATTACGTAGTAGTACTTCCCTAGTCACAAATTCCCAGCTGCTAGTGATGTACAGCTCAGGGAATTCCTGAGTGAGCAGCAGTATCTCAAATAACCCCAACAGATTTCTTTGAAGTATTTGTTCAACTGCTTTCCTCACTTCATTTGCAAATTTGGCATCCACAACATACTGAGTTCAGTCTGCTGCTTGTGTATGTGTGTCCCCCAGCACTGAGTTCTACAGCATTTTGTTCAGAATGCTTCTGTCAGTAGCATTTCCAATCCTAAGAGATTCAAAGCTAGCGTGAAAAAATTAAGTTATCCATAATTAGAAGTTCCTGAAGATTCATAGAGTGGGGAATAAAGAGACTGCAATTACAGGAATTTGCTTTGCAGTTTGTTTGGAAAATGTGATTTGAATGGGAGATGTCATTTAAATTCACCTGCGTTAACCAAGACTGGAAAACCAGACAAGGATTTTAGCAAGTTCTAGACATGGTGACAATAGAGTGGAAACCAAAGGTTGAATCCCACCATTGAAATCAATGTATTTTTTTCACAAATTAGACCTGTGCTTCAACATTAAAATGTCTTATTTAATTTATGGTTTCTTCTTTGTAAAAGGATGAAACATTTATCTGTAGGTTCACCTCTCCTCTGCTTATTGCATATCTTTTACTCTGTTGTGTTGGTTTTAGTGAAATACTTGAAACATGCCTCATTTCATTATTCCCAAGCCAGTTACTTACCACTACAAGTTAGCCTAAATCAAAGACAATATAATTTAAACACTGTTCCTAATGCTGTTAAAAACATATATCGGCTGCAGATTCTCAGCATGACACAAACAACTGATTTTAACTGTTTTCAGAAGGTCAGTGAAGTCCATAAATTAAAAGGACTACAACTTTGTCAGAAGCATAAATAGCTCGTTTTCTTTTTTCTCCTCCTCAACACTACCACCTAATGTACTGCACTGAACACAGCTCATTATCAAAGGCATTTTTTCTGAATGTAACATAGTTCTGCTATTGAAAACTTTAATAAGAACTGACTATAAAAAGCAACATGGGCAATTCTGAAAGATAACTGTGGAATATCTTAAAACACCTCACTCCAAATTGTACTAGTCTTGTCCAAGCTGGGTTAGAATGCAACAGCTAGCTAATCCAGGGCCAGAGTAACCAAACCACTAGTACTGCAGAAAGACAAGTTAGTTCCCTGCCTCCAACCATCTAGGCAGAATGGTGGTACATACCATGAGCTACTTCAGAGTGATATTAAATAAGAATAAAGAATAAGAATAAAGAATCAGAATAAGAAGTCCCACTACCTCTGTTCTAGAGTAGATGACAATGTTATGTGACAATATCACAGCACATATTGAGACACAGAGGAACAGGTAACTGCCTCTCTAGCACAGCATGCCTATTGGCTTGCTGGTAGCAGCAGTAGCAACTCCTGTTTGATAACTGTTCTATTTCTTAGGACATAACCACCTCTATTTATCTAGGCTGGAGCTTGTCTTGCTTAAGAGCAACTCCATGTTTGCCTGTATGACTAAACAGTGTTCTGAACAAATGGCTTTGTAAGAACTGTAATGTGCACCTATGGTTTTATAGTGCTTGTCTATGTAAAAGAAATTATTTGCAATTTATTTTCCATCACTTTCAGATGGAGCTGGCCACAGCATGCTCCAAATAAATCAGAATGCTTCTCCCTCACCTCAAAACACAATCTTTTAATCACAATCACAGTTGTTAATTGAATCTGTCTTATGAATGTTACTCTGCTCCTGGCAATTTTTAAAAAGGTAATACAGTTAATCTATGCACATACTGAATTGCTTTTAGTAATATCTTATGAATCTCATTGTTTGTGCTCTTGCTATTCTTGGTGCTAATGTTGTGGAGATCAGTAGGATTGCTCCTGCTCATCATTTCATTTTGTCGTCAAAAGACTCCAGTCCTCAATATCTCACACATCTGCTGAATACCACAATGATACCTGAGTTTCTCTGCACATATTCCATGCTTTTTAGTAGAAAAAACTCTAGCATATCATTTCTCTATATACAAATCCTATTGGATAACAACTAATTTAAAGTGAATGAAATTAACTCCACATAGCAAAATGTTAAACCATAATGAAAATATTAGACTAACAAAAATATCTCAGCCTGCCTTTCTTCCCTTTCAAAACAGTGTTTCATTAAAACATCAGCTTGCTTGTGGCTTTTCATAATTCAAATGAAATTTTCTAATTATCCATGAAAATCATATGTCTTTTTTCATACTGACTCTGTTTTTGCAAGGAAGAAATACTCACAGAAGCCAGGGGCATTTTGATTAATCCTGTGTATGACTGGATAGCAGATGTATTAAGTGCAGTTTAGTCCCCATTTCTTGGTCAGTCTGATGCTGTGTAACTTTGGAGGGTGGACCAGCTGCAGGACAAACATATAGAACAGAGATTTCTCAGTTTTAAAAGACAAAAGGAACACAGAATCCTCCACGCATATAGGGAGCAAACTTGCTACATATACCAAAGTCCCTGAGACAAAGTAGGACATTCACTGGGATGGTTATTTGTTGATCTAGGAAAGAGTAGGTAGGCACAAGACTTAAGAACAGAAGCATAGACATATGCTTCATATGTCTCCAAGGTCTATCTTTCATACTATCCTTTTTTCCACTAGTAGCCAAAAGCAGGTCCAAGAAGGAAAGTAAGAGCAATACTAAGTCCTATCTCCCTATAGTGCTTTCTAAGGATCCAACTAGGCATGGCATCAGGTTTTAGAGAATGCGAGGCAGTATCCTAGAACTTGCACTTGGTATGCCATCTCTCCTGCACTCTGAATGACTGTGGGACAAGAGACTGGTGAGAAACGTAAGGAGAACAGTATTGAGAATGGTTGGGAAAATGGACTGGCACTAGAAGGAAAGGAAACGATGGACAGAGACCTACTAGAGAAGTGTTGGGACAGTGAAGGCAAAGTCCAAGTTTGGACTTCCAGTTTCCTTCTTCCTAGCATTATCAGTTATTTCCCAGCAAGTTAAGTCTCAACACCTGAGCCAGACTCTATACAGATTTGTTCATATACTGGTCTTATGTAACAACTTTATGCAGGTAAAGTGACGAATGAATCTCCTTCTGCCATTGGCTAACTAATTCCAGCTACAAACCAAATGTTTTACTCTTCACTTTCCCTGTTGACAGTTGAATTAGAAATTACTATGAAATCATTATGACTATGAGCTTTCATTTTCAGCACTCCTAATCTGTAAGCTAAAAAGTGAACTAGTGCTTGTCTTTATTAACTCAGTGGATTTAATATGGCTCTTGGCAACGTTTCATTGTACGGTGCAAGTAACAACCTAAAATCAGTAATAATTTCATATATAACTCAATAAAAATTGTAGCTGAAACTCAAACAGATAAAATAAATTGTGTTATTGGTAGTACTATGGAAAAAAGGAATTGTCAGACACTGTTCATCAATGAAATTACTTTGCAGTTGTGGTAAATGAACTTTGTGTAATAAGAAGGGCAATTAAGAAATGGGCCCCAAATCTGCAGAACAGCATAAGGTCTTTTCTTTTTTCTCTAGCATATGAATTGCCATGTTTGCTAAGAGTAATATGACATTAAAAACATGGAATGGCAACATCATCGCCTTGTTTTTTATTGAAAAAGCACTAGATGGGGAATGAATTCAGGTGCCCTAAGTAGGAAATGAGGAAAAGCCTTACTCACTAGACAGCTAAGTATAACTACGCAAAATTCACTCATCAAAAACAACCTAACACAGTGAATTTTAAGCATATGCAGACATCATTTAAGCCACATAGCTTCAGTATACATTGAACAAAGACTAATTTTAGGACTCAGGCTGACTTTAGACTTTGAAAAGTCCAATTTCCTTGACAACTCAAATAAAGAGTTCATATCTTGATTTTTAAGGTTATGTTAGGCTCAATGTAATCAATTATACACTTGCAATTCATTTGGTCTCTTAGACAGAAGCCAAATTTGCTGGGCAAAGACAAATGCTAGATAAAGAAATACATGCAATCAACTAAGTTCTTGGACTTGCTTACAGTGTATATAAATTTTTAATATGCCATTACAACAGCAGAACGTATTGCTCAAGAGAAACTGACATTGGGAAAGGAAAAATGTACATCTTTAACAAACATTTCCAAGCAAAGACATAATTACGTATCTATGTAAGCTCAGCCAACTTTTTGCTTTTATTTTAATATACCATGTAAACAAAACTGATCAGCTAATCTTAGGATTTCAGAAACACCGTGGCAGAAATGAATTATAAATTCATACCACATATTGGGCTACAGCTTGATACATCCTCACTAGATAAAGAGGAATGTTTTTTCTGCATGTATGTGAAAAGGCTCTGCATATGATGCAGGTGGGATTCATGACTGCTGATTCCCTTTCTGCAGTGGGTGTTGCTGGGTGCCAAGGTTTGGGGAGTTGTGAGAATCCTTCTTTGTTTTTTTTTGGCTCAAAGCTTGCTTCCTGAGGTTTTTCTTGTGATAAGACTCTGAGTGACTTGTCAAGGAGGCAAGTGATGGGTGCTAACTGTGTGACAATCGATATCGCTTTGGGAACATGTGAAAGCCCCTTCCCCCCCAGAGCTGCTTGCTCTGTAGAAGAGCAGAAGAGAGTGCTCAGGAGTGTTCACTGGCGGAAGATCTGGCCTGTGGCCAAACTGCTCCAGCTTGGTATGGGAGGCTGGGGGATGATACCATTGTATCCTGTGAAGGCAAGATACAAGTTGGTGCCTCCCTGCTTCCTCTTATCTGCTGGCAAGGCCAGAAAGATAAGAACAAAGGAGGTTCCTGCTGAGATCCCAGAGCCAGAAGCTGCCACCGCAAGGAGAACTGTGAGCTGTCACTCAAAGAAGAGCTGACTTGACCACTTTGGATTTGAGCTGTCACTCCAAAGACAGCTGACTCAACCACTTTGAAGCACTGAAAAAGGGCCATCATCACCATGGTCGTCGTCGTCCTTCGTCGTCATCGTTGTCAACAGAACAACTCTGCCTGACGACCCACCGCTACTGAAGATCAAAGACTAAACTATGAACCACGCTGGATCCATGGTGGTGACTATGTCCCTCTTGCTGCCTATAAAGACTCCTTGCTTCTTTTCTATCGCCCTCCTTCCCTTCCCCATTACCCTAATTCATAATAGTGTCTGTCCTCCCTTTCCCCATTTCCCCTGATTAAGATTTGTAATAAACTGGTTGGACCAACATTTGAACCGTTGCTTCTTAATCTCACGCCGGGTATATAGGTAATAAAAGAACCTCCTCTCCCTCCTATAAATTGGAGCGAGACAGGAGTGTGAGAGAAAACAAGGAATTAAAGTCAACCAAAATGGCATACTTCAATGTTCTTTATAAGCCTGAAAATGCCTTCTTGTGTGTTTTGTATCCTAGCACCATGCTGTCATGACACTCAACTGTGGTTCCTGCTAGGACTGTAATATTATATAACCAAGTAACTCATAAATAATCATCCTAACTCATTTTTAAAAATATATATAAAAATAAAATATATTAAGATAAACACCTTATATCTTTCACTGCAAAGTAGTTTTCTAGCTCTGAAGTTAGTCTCATGGCTATCCAATGAATTTAGTAGTATCAGTGAGGTTCTCTCTCTACTGATAGACTAAGAGCCCTCTTTCTTGCTCTGTCTGTCCTCCCCGTACTTTTACTTTCATGACAACGAAGGGACAGTTTCAATACTGGTCACAAAGGAAGTGGCAAAAGCTTTGGTGAACTGCGAGTAGAATTTCAAACCTTTGACTTCATTTGGAGGTTCAACAAATAGGGTTCATTCAGACTGCTTTCACTTTCGATTAATGGTTGCCCTGCTGAGCATTTGCTTGTTTGTGATTCAGCTGTAGGATGGTAATCACATAATGAATACCACCTGACAATGAAACGACGAAAAAGACTTTGATATCTTCAGCACTTGCTGGGACAAAGCCCAGTTAAGCTCTATGAACCACAGTCCTCCATCGATTCCTTCCCAACCAAATCTTTCTGATTCTGTCAGGGCTTTTTCCATTGCCTGTAAAACAAGTCTATTTTAGGTAAAAGGAGGCCTGTTCTTCATGCAGCATAACAAAATTTTGCTTCATCACAGATAAGCATAGTTTTTGCTAATGTAACAGACAGCTCAGGTGTTATCTATTTTTACAGCTGGTAGGAAGCACTGGAAAACTGCAGAGGTATTTCTAAGGAAAAGTAATGCACACTTCCAATATTTCTATGCAAGGAAACAATTCAATGGCTAACCTACTAAAAAGGTTAAGACCTTATTAAACATGCAGACAGAGATGACATTTACTTTAAATGTGGTAATTGCTGAGCAAAAGTATAATCCTGAATCAACTTGATTTGGGTGGTTGCACCGAATTCAAAACATCATTTGCCCACAAGTAGCGGACAGTTTTTTCTTTTTTCCCTTTAAACGTAAAATCTTGTAAAATAAACAATTTCCCTGAAAATTCAAGGAAACCAGATTTGCCCAGGTTTGGATTACCAAATGTGGAAGCTTTTAAAGAAGAAATGTCAACAGTAGCAAATAGCTGTAAAACCTGAGGCTTTACCACACAAAAGACAGGATCAGTTAGAAATATTCATACTAGGTATTTTCAAACTCTCCATTTCCTCTGACCATTCCCAGGACCTACACGCAGCACATGTTCTCTCCATTTTCCTGGCACAACAGCAGCAGCTAGCAATATTGTTAACATCACCGGGACTTCATGGGTCTTGAAAAAAAATGGATCAATGCCTTGATCTCACATGCCCACAGTTCACACTTCAAACTCTGCACAAAAAAGGACACCCACTTTTCTCCTTACGTTCTCACCTGTCTCTCCTTGGGAGATTCAGTTCCCTACCTGTAATACAAGTATACCGTCTGTTGCCAAGGTCAGACCTTACCTTGCTCATCTTGTCTTCTAAGAAATACTTAGGCCACGATAATTTGCATTACTCTCATCAGTCTGCCTTGCCTAAGGTTGATAAATGGGGCAAAATTTCTCTTTTGGCACAGTGGTAACTCACCAGATTACAGACTTCAAAAGGAAACTCAACATACAGCTGTGTGACTCATTTCCCACTCAGCTTGTGAACCAAGTAGCCCAGAAAAGAAGATGTCATGGACTATGTAAGACAGGATTAGAAAGCAAAAGAAAGTACAGCAAAATTTAAAACTTCCAATCAGAATTTGGGTTGACTTGCCTGAATCTTCAGGCCAAAATTCTACCATATTTGTTCCAGACTTTTAACTGCACGCAGTCCATAATGACCAGGGAGGCTGAAGTACAGCTGATATTACTCCTGCAAGTCCCTTCTGAACTGAATAATTCAATGGTTTTATGACATCAACCATGATAAAA